ATGTGCCTTTAATGACTTTTATTGCTTGAAAGAAGCTTCTCATGCATGTTGGCCAGTGAAACTCTGGATCTCAATGGCCTTCACTTGCCATCATTTGTTCTTGATGTCCTGTAGTCTTCTGTGAACTACAGCTTTGAGCTAGTAGTAAGCCTCTCATTTTTGCTGGTTGGAGGGTTCATTTTGCCAACTGCAGAACACAGTTTTCTTTTGATGGATAAGTGCTAGGATTTACTCATTATTCTCGTCAAACCACTCTTGGTGATGGTAAGTGGAGTATCCAATTGATTCAGCATGTGCCTTGTGACTAATCTTCTTAAGTTCCTACCAATGTACCTGGATGTCCCTGATGTCATCGGGTAGGTCAGAGAGCCTTGCAGTAAGGCGTTGCTGAAGAGCGTCACATCTAGCTTGGTCTTGGAGTGCCTTGATTTTAAATCTTTTCCGCATTCCTTTTAGTTGTTTACAATGTTGTGGTGCAAGCTGCATGTCCATGACTCCTCTGACTAAACGGCAGTCTGTCCAATAGTCATTTGCATCTCTTGGGACTCAGGTGATACATACATCAGTATGATCATGGGCTTTGACAATAATGTAGTCAAGAAGGTGCCAGTGACTGGAGTGTGGGTGTTTCCAGGTGGTCTTATGTAATTATATTTGGCACTCTGAAGATAGGATTTGTGATGAGCAAGTCATCACAAGGAGGAGGAGGAGGATACCATTGGAATTGACTTTCCCCACTCCCTCTTTCCAAATAGTGCCACTCCAGAGTGCAGAGTGTTGCCCAACTTTTGTGTTAGTCACCCATTAGGATGAGCTTGTCTTCCTTGGCATTAGCAGTCAGGACTATGTCAAGAGTGCAGTAGATCTGTTCCTTGTTGATTTCTTCATTGTCAAGTGTGGGGGCATATGCACTGATGATGTGAATATGCTGGTTATTACTAACCTTGAGGAAAGAGTCATAAGGCATTTGTTAATGCCCACAGGTAGTTCTGAAAGCTGACTGACAAGCTTGTTCTTGATGGCAAAGCCAACCCTGTGAATGCGCCTCATTTCAGGTGATTTTCCTTTCCAAAAAAAGGTGTAGCCACCTCCTCCTTTCAGCTGGCCTTCATCTGACCAGCAGGTCTCATTTCGGGCAGCAATATTGATGTCATATCGTGGAAGTTCTCTAGCTACTATGGTGGCTCTTCTTTCAGGACACTTACTGTTCGAGGAGTCCGTGGCAGTAATGACTTTCCATGTGGCAAATTTCACTGCTTTATTTTGTTGGTTTTGGCTGCAGGTAGAGTTGATCCCACTGGATGTGGCAATCCAGCTAGGGGGATTTGAGACAGCCTGTTTAGGCCACCTTTTCTAGCTCCTTCCCTGTTAAGAGTGAGCAAAGGGGATCCTACAGAGGACTGCTCAGTCATGGCTGCAGCTGCCAAATTTTATTTCTGTCTTGGTAAGTGCAAAACGACCATTGCCCAACCACCACCTACGTGCAGATTTGTGACTAGGGACTCCCAGAAATCATTGTTCCTGTCCCACTGTCACTTGTCTTTGCTGCAGGACTTGGTTTGTGGGAGATGTTAACATCCCTGGCAGAGGCCTGCAGGTGACATCTTTTAATATGGGGAAGCCAGTGTGCAAGCAACAGCTACACAAACTTGACAGGAAGAGCCCTGAACCCAGTGGCAAAAATGACCAAGACCACTAGGGACATTTGGGGGCTGGACTCCATGATCTTCTGAGGTCCCTTCCAGCCCTAATGTCTATGAAATCTGCCTTCACAGCCTCAGAGAACCAGCAGGTCCTCAAATATGCCTGTTCTGTTCTTGCAGTCTTTAGGAGTTTGGACCATGCTTAGTCTGAGATCTTGCTTCAAATCTGTTTGCAAGGGGAGTCCCTACCAGGAGTACAAGATGCCAGATGATACATCTCTGAGGGTCATTGGAACACACAAGCCATGACATGGTTACGGTCCAAGGAGAGGAATGGGAAAATACCTTCATTTTCAAAGATACAAACATATTTTTAAATCTCTCAAAACATATGATTGAATAATTATAAGCATAAAAAAGTCCTTTGAATAAAAATGAGGCATCAAAATGGAAGACAAAGAGCAGCATATTATACTTAAATGTGAGTCATTAGATTTAATTCAAACATAAGTTACTACTGAATAATCATATACAGTTAAATTTTGCAAAGAAGGAGACATGTTCTGAGTGAAATTAAGTTTCATTAGTGCTTAAAATGCCATTTGTCATTTGGCCTGGTGGAGCCAAGTAAATTTTCATCAGCTGAGGCTCCAAGGTAGAAATTTTAGTGTAGACACATTCCAAAAGTCCTAAAATCTGATTCTTTTTTAGATATTAAAACCAACCAACCCAAGACCCCCCCC